CTCCATAGTCTACTTTCCCTTCAACATCAATTCGAGACCCCTTTTTCACATACTGATAGGCCACATCTCTGAGGCCTGGCCGGAATACTGATATTCTGTGCCATGTAGTCTTTTGACTGACATCACCCATTTGGTATACTTCACTGTCCCCTGACCGCCACATCTCATTTGTTGCTAGAGAAAATATTGTGACTGGATTTTTCCCTTCCACCTGTCTCATGACAGGGTCCTGACCCACTCGCCCAAGTAACTGCACACGATTTAAGGATCTTTCCAGAACTAAACTGCTAGCTATTTCAGACTCATGTCTTACAAACTGATGAAGTACCTAAAATACAGGTCTTTGAAACATGGCTTCTACTTTCTTTTCTTACAATCTAATCTTTAGACTCTTCCCGCGGTTCTAGAGCAGCCTCAAGCTAGGAGATTTTTAATCTTGGAGGCCAGTCTGTGTGCAGGGGCCTGGGGGCAGCTCTATGAGTGGCCAGGACTGAGTGCCTGAGAATGGGGGTTCACCAGGCAGTGAAGGGTTGTGATCGGCAGATGTAGAAGGTCAGGACTTTGTACCTTTGTCTTAACCCCCTTCCCTAAGGTCTCCAGTTCACTGGACTTCACTGGTGATCACACTATGTGGATGGGCAAGTGGTCGGATGCTTGGGTGGTGGGTGGTGGGGTGGGTGATAGGTGGAGGATGAGTAAGTGGAAGACATGTGGATGGATGATGGTTACAGCTGCAGATTATGCCAATGCCCAAGACACAGCGGTCCCACCAGAAGGCCTCAGGGTAACAGAGAGTACCCTGGAAGCCAGACTGTTAGATCACGCGCTTGACTGTGGCTCTGCCCCTCTCCAGCTGGTTCCACGTCTCTTTGGGCTCCTGCGTCCTTGCCCACAAACCCTAGACTTGGAAATCACCCTTGAGCTGGGCCTGGGTGTCACCCTGAGCTCACCTGGGACAAGGTCCTAGGACGCAGGGCTACTGTGCAGCTGAGGGTGCCAGTTGTGGGCATGGGCACCATGTAGACACGGAGGAGGAAGCTGAAGCGCAGGTCACCATTAGGGCTTGGGGACAGCAGGCTCACCCAGCTGCTCTTGGCCGCCCGGCCCTGGATGAGTTCCACGGTGTCCCCCTCAGGCCCCAAATCCAGGTGGCAGCTGTCTAGCTGGAACACGAACTCAGGGATTGGTGGGAACACGCTCACCTGTGTGAGTAGGTAGAGGGACAAGGCACAGGCAGTTACTCTTAACCCTCCTCCCAACCTGCTCTCTTGACATATGAGCTGAAGGAAGAGTGGCCACCTCTGAATCCTAATGGTGGAAGACATGGCCCCGCCTGGGGCAGATGAGGAGAGGGTGACGGTCCTGGCAGTGTCCAGGAGCAATGCCTTCTCTGCCTATCCCCCACACACCCAAGCTGGCTCCCTCCTTACTCCAGGAGGTGAAATTCTTATCTTTGGCATGATGGTGGAAAAAAGGTGTGTAAGGAATTCCAGGCTTGGGAGGCGTGGCGGTGACAGCAAGCCCAGTACCTGCACAAAGCCCTGCTGGCCCAGCTCGATGGTGTTGGAGGTCTGGAGGAAGTGCGGGCTGAGGTAGAAGCCCAGCTGGAAGGAGAGGCTGTCCACATTGACACACTGCACTTTTTTCTGTGAGAGGATAGGAAGGAGACTTGGTCAGTCTGGTGGCACCAGGCAGGAAGGTAAGGGGTGGTGTGGGAGCAGGTGTCATAGCCCAGAGGAGCTGCCTGAGTTCCATCTTCAAACCTTTTTTTTTTTTTTTTTGAGACGGAGCCTCAAGCTGTCACCCTGAGTAGAGTGCTGTGGCATCACAGCTCACAGCAACCTCCAACTCCTGGGCTCAAGTGAGTCTCCTGCCTCAGCCTCCCAAGTA